ACAGAGTTACCGTTTACAATAGAAAGAAATTTAAAATGATTGAGCTAGCCATTACAATGGTACTGACTGCATGAATATTATATGTTCATAAAACGATACGTTCAGAATGATTTAGTATACTCATAAAATAGAATTGTGTACAGCAAGTAAAAAGAATCATATTATGTACCAATTAAAAAGTTGTCCTCGGTTTATGGTTAAGTAAAAAGGCTCCTTTTAAAAAGTTTGTTCTGATTTTGTAATAAAATTTGTAGAAAAAAAAAAAAATACAGGGAGATATATAGCAAACTGTTACCTCTGGAGATAGAGTAAGGATACTTTCATTTCTAAAATTAAAAAAAAATCTAACTGGTTTATTGTTATTGTGTGACATCGAATCTGTTCCGACTCATGGCGATCTTGAATAGGGTTGCCAAGAGCTGCTGGTGGATTTGTACTGCCAACCTTGTCATTACTAGTCCATTGTTTACCCCACAGTACCACACCAGGGCTCAAGTGGATTAATGTTTGTATTTTTTATAATGAACATAAAATTTTAGCTATACTAATAAAGATAGGGAGTTCTGGTGTGGCGTTATGGGTTAATGCAGTAGTCTGCAAGGTTAATTTGAACCGCAAGGTTGGCGATTACTAGCTGCTCCTTGGAAACCCTATACAGGGTCACCATGAGTTGGAACTGACTCGACGGTATTCAACAGCAACAATAAAGAAATAAATGTTGATTTTAAAATAACATTTAAGATCTAAATTTTAGAAAGTGATGCAAAGGGTCATGTTTATATTCTGTTCTATAGTCTACACTGAGTTCCCAGTTCCTTTCCCAATTGGAGAAGTCAGACCAGATCAATACAAAATAGTTTTTGAAAACAATTTTTGAATACATTTCCTCCTTAATACTTTCCTTCATTTTTTTTTTAGATTCCATTGCAGACACTCTGGATGGGTAATACCGTTAAACTTCTAGATCTGGTAGAAGTTAACAGTTCCATTCTTGCTGGTACTAACCTTTTAATAGTTGATGTGGAGAATGTTTATGCTGTAGTCTGTTTGAAAATGTGTTTGTTTTACCCTTCGTCATATTTACTAAAATTAAAGATTGTTTTAGTTTGTTTTGGTTCAATAATGATACTGTTTCACATTCCTTTGTTGTTTTAGAGTTTGCGGTATCCATTCACAGGAATGTATTTTCTCATTTAAGCAGGCAGAGCAGTGCTACTAACTATTTCAAGCTCTGTGATTTCCTACATTAAGGTTTTCAGTGAGTGCACAATGACTTGGTTAATTTCATTCTTCTGAATGTCATAGTGAAAACTTCTGGACAGCTCAGGGAGTCTCAGGCCAATGTGGAGCACTTCAAGACCAGTCATAGATCTTCTCTGAGGACCATCAGTGTCCTTCTGATGTGGTGGTCTTAAGCAGTATGAGCCACAGAGGGAGACTATCTGGGTCAGATCATCTTCAGGAAAACAGAACGATTTCTCCAGGAAAACAGGAATTGGTATTGTTTGGTCAGGGATGGAAGGCCAACTTAGAACCTAACCCTCCACATAGCTCTCCATTGGTGGGTAGATGTTGTTATTGTTGTTGTTATGTGCCATCAAGTCGGTTCCGACCCTAGCGACCCTGTATAGGGTTTCCGAGGGTGTAAATCTTTACGGGAGTAGAAAGCCTCATCTTTCTCCCGCGGAGCAGCTGGTAGTTTCGAACCGCTGACCTTAAGGTTCGCAGCCCGATTCGTAACCACTACGCTACTCAAAACTTCTAGATTCTACATTTCAGGTTGATCTCTGAGAGATTTGGTTAGGAGCTTCCTGGGTGTCTAGAAAACTTTGCTTTGGGATCATGATGATCACAGAGCACCTTGGCTCAATCTTAAATCGTCAGTTACACAGTCAGGGTATCCATAGATACATCCAACACTAGCAGTGCCTCCCAGGAGAGCTTTGATTGATTGATTGATTGATTTTCCAGACAAGCATCATGACGTTACATAATTATTTAGTCCTCTCTCTCTCTTATTTTAATTATTATTTTTACTTTTTAGATAAAAAATTATCAGGACAGGCTGTCATTCCAGGATCACTAATATACCACAAACAGTCACAAATACTGCTGGTTTGTTGCAAGGTAAAATTTCCTTTACTTTTGCATTATCGTACTTGTTTTACTGAGTTTATAGTTTATATCTTTATCATTTTCTTGATTCGGACTTTCCCCAACTGCCTGTTCATCACATTGGGCCTGTAGACATTTTAATTTTCATGAGAAATAGTATCTATTTCTAGCATATCTTTTTGGAAGTAGTAAGGTTTTGCCAAGACATTATTCATTGAAATTATGAAAGAATATTTATTTATTGCTTTGTTTAAAAAAAAAATCCAACTTAATGAACAGACTCCTGTGCTTGGTAACACAAAAGATATACCAAGGAGTCTCGTGGAACTCCTACTGTGTATGCATTCTACTGACTGTCTTCCTCAGCAGTGACTGGGATTTTGTAAAAATTTAAAAAAAACTTTGGGACCATTATTGTATTATTTGACAATGGTATTTTCCTGAAAAGTGTCCACATTTCTTGCATTTCCTTGGTGTTTTCCTTTATGTGGTGGTTATGTGAGATATTTCAAGAACAGTTTTGGGTACATGTGTCTTGCTGTCCTTACCTGGGATTCTGTATGTTTTGTGTGTTTGGCATTTTGTGCTAATAGAGAAATCTGAGGTCGTCTGAACAGGAGAGTGTGAGCCCCACCTGTTGTGTAACTTCAGACAAATCAGTTCCTCTCCTAAAGTGGGGATGATATTGGATCTGCCTAAGTTTTAGAGTTAAACTAACCAAAAGGCTAGTAGTTCATGCCCACTAAGTGACTCTGGAAGGAACACCTGGTAATCTGTTTCAGTAAAATTATAGCCAAGAAAGCTCTATGGGACAGTTCTGTCCTGTCACACGGGATCACTGTGAGTTGGAACTGACTCAACAGTACCCAAAAACAATATATTTTGATGACAGTCACAGTAAGATCTATGGATATACTCTGACATTTTTAAACACCATGCAAATGTAGCATCGTTCCTCTTTACTCTCTTTATGTCTAAATAGGCATACTTACACATACCTGAAAGGAGCTCTGGTAGGTAGCATAGTGGTTACAAGTAGGGCTGCTAACCTCAAGGTCAGCAGTTTGAAACTACTAGCTGCTCCACAGGAGAAAGGTGAGGCTTTCTGCTCCCATAAAGATTTACAGCCTCAGAAACCCTGTACAGGGTCGCTATGAGTCAGAATCGACTACTCCCACCACCACACGTTTGTACTTTTGTTCTCTCCTCAGTAACAAGCTTTTAGAGTCAAAGAATTGTGTATGTTTTATTTAGTACACTGCTATTTACACATTGGCATTTAGTAACATATATTGGTTCATTTGTTTTCATGATAAAGTTGTTGTTTTTTAACTATTGTGAATTGAGTGAAGGTAAACAGGAGCATCAGCCTTACTTTCAACCAATCATATGTTTTGTTTCATCTCAATGATTACACTAGGGCCCCTCCTTGTAATAACAGTTATCCTGCTTCTACCCTGTGGTTTCCCTCTTACATCTTATTTTTCACAAATGAACAAAGCAAAAATATTTGATGTACACATACAAAACAAGATATATATATTCATTTAAATGTTCAAAGGGCACATTATGCATGCCACCTTCCTGCCCACAGGCATACAGCCTTTCTCAGTTCATGGGCCTAGAGTCCTCAGCTGCTCTCTCTAAGCCATCACCTCTGCCACTATCTCTGCTTTTCTGGGTTGGATCTCATGCGCCACTAATGTTCTACCCTCATGATGGTCCTAGAGAGTCCTCTGTTCCTGAAATGAAAGATTAGCTACTCCCTCCTTTTAGTTATATATCTTCTACAATTACAGTTGTGACAATTGAGATTAATCTTGATAACAGTTAACTTCACAGTTGAATCATACCATCCTATCACCATCATGTCCCATCCCTTTTCACCAGATCTAGCTGGAAAAGAGGAAAACTATTCAGTGGGGATTCTATCTTACCCCCCTCATTCTGAAACTAAGCATGCTCATGAAAACTTGTAAACCAGCCACTTTCTGCCTTTATAACCCCTCATTTTTTATAGCTAATGTCTAAGTGCTTGTCCCTATTAACCCAGTGCACTGAGGAAACAAACTTGATCCTTGATATGAAGAATCCTTCCTTTTCAGTTGGAATTTTGAGCAACTACATCCACAAACAAAGGTCTAATTCATCAAATTGTAACAATTTACACTTGCTTACAGTATCAAACTTCTTTATCTTCATCTGGTTGAGTTCTGGTCAGCTAGCCATTCAAGCTAGGTCAGGTAGGTACTATCTGCAAGTTTGAGATTTGTCGCATGCCTCCCTCCACTTCAGACCAGCTGGTCGCTTCACTCTCAGCCCTAGCCTCCAGGGGCTAGATCAATGTCCATTGACTCAAGAGTTCACATATCTCCCTAAACTTAGGAGCAGACAGACCTTCCTCTTCTCTCTGTCATTGCATGGTCAATGGAACATGGTCAAACTCAACCCATGTCTTCATTGCTGCATCCCCCCCGACTTCCACTCACAAGTAGACCCAGGTGGTCACCAGCGAGCATACTAGACTGCTTGTGGGTTCCCTTTGAGTTTCAGTCTTAGAAGGGGTTTTCCCTGGAGGGCTGACTTTTCTGGTTTTGATGGTTCCAAGACAAACAGCTTGCTTGATATTCTAACAGGCAAACAGTCTGCTTTTTTTCTGCTGGTCTTACTTTCAAAAGTATCTTTTATTCTAGCTGTTCTGGGTTGGCCTGTATTTTCAAGTGGGAATGCCCCATCTCAGAAGGTTCTGTATGGGGCTCAGGATTCCACCTATGGCCCCATACTCCAAAAAGGCTTAACAAGAAGCCTATTTCCCTGGGTAAAATTGAAATCCCCTTTTGGCAAATTCAATCAGTTATAGGCTGAAGACGGGCTTACAAGCTTTCTTTAATTGTGATTCCCAATATTCATGTCTATCACACTTAAATGACTATTTTACAATAGTAGACAGCGGCAGACCAAGATCCATAAGTCAACCCCCTTAACACTTTTCCCCTGCCTTTACCCTTTCAGACTGTTTCTCAATCCCAAGTCGTTCCAAGGTTGTGTATATATCACTATTTACCTCGATCCCATTTAGCACATGCATACTTCCCTAAGTCTTTCTCTGTCTTCATGGTTCATCTACCACCCTGATAAAGTTTTATAAACTAAATGTGCTTAGCTTTTCAGTTTTGCCACCACTACCTATTCACTATTTGTCTTTTGCCCTTTAGGATGGCTGGATTGGCATTCGATCAATGATGCTCAAGAAAACACTAACAGCTACTGATTTCTACAATGGATATTTGCACCCCTGGTACCAAAAAAATACACAAGTTCAACCAAGCCAGTGCAAATTTCAGACTCTCAGACTGCCAGCAAAGAAGCAGCAGCAAAAAAAATTGTTGCTATGCAACAGTGCATTGAGGAGTTAGTAAGAAGATGGACAAGAATCTATTACATATTTGTAATTTATTAAAAGCCTTATTTACAAGGAATTATTTGGGTGGCTCAAACAGTTAACACAGTCATCTGCTAACCAAAGTGTTGAAGACTGAAGTTCACCCAGAGGCACCTCAGAAGAAAGACCTAGCGATTTACTTCCAAAATATTACTTCAGAAAACCCTATGGCAGTCATACTCTGACATAACTGGGGTCACTACGAGTCACAGTCCACTCAGCGACAACTGGTTACTACTTACCTTGACTTTCAAAGATGACACTGTTGGAAGAAGAGATTGTTGTCAAAAGAGAGATTACCTCACTTTCCATTTTTGGTTTAACAGTAATTAAAAGCAGCTTTTTCTATTTGAATAGCAAAAGAAACTTTAAATAAAATTTTGATTAATATCAAACTCAAGCAGATTCTATCTTTCTTAATTGCAAGGGTAATTAACTGATATGCTTATATACATCAAGGGGTGTCTTAGGCCGGGTTTTCTAGAGAAGCAAAACCAGTGAAATATATATATATAAAGAAATTTATTATCAAGGAAATGGCTTACAATTGTAGAGTCCCGGATGCCCAGCAGAAGTCTTCCTACTATATTGGGAGCAGGCCACACCCCCAGGAAAACTTCCTTTCAATTGATTGACTACTCATAGCCACTCATCATAGAATTAACTATGCCTGTAGTAGGTTTCATCACCATGGGAATAAGCAGGTCTCAACTGGTAAACCTCTGGAAATCCTGGCCTAGTCAAGTTGATACAAAACCCTAACCATTACTGGGAACTTCATGGGGAAACTCCATTATCTTTTATTTATTTATTTAAGGTTTTTATTGTGGTAAAAATTTACAGGGCAGATCATCCGTTTTACATTCAACAAATCATACACCTTGTTTCATTACAATGATTATAATCCCCTCCATGTACCATCATTTAACCCATGTTTCTCTCTATTCACTTTCACTTTTTAAAAAAAAACACTCGGGCATGTATAATAATTTATACCACCAAAGGGCACATTCTGCAAGCCTGCCTCATGGCCACCAGCTCTTAGTCCCTCTCTTCCCATGAATCTAGAGTCCTCAGCTGCTCCCTCTCTCCATATCCTCATCTCTGCCTCCATCTCTGGTGTCGCTGCTTCTCTGGATAAGGTCCCACATTCTGCTTGTGCTCTTTTCCCTTGATGGTCCTAGGGTCCTTTGTTTCTGGACTGTTAACAAAACTTCTACCTTTACAATTGTAAGAGCGCAATTAGTCATGATAATAATTACTCTTTATTGAATCATAAGAATCTTATTCCCGAATATCTCCTTTCACCAGACCCATCTAGTCAAGATTAAAAACTCCATTATCTTTTCATTCAATTTTTCCACAAACTTTTTGAAGCCCCCTCATAAATATACATACTCAGGAGACATTGTTTTTAAAACAGGAGCATTTTGAATTTTTAAAATTATATTTCCCCATTGACTTTGTTATCATTTTAGTATTTAATATGAGTTTCTAAGGAGCCCTGGTAGCATAGTGGGTTATGAGCTTGGCTGCTATCTGTAAGATCAGCAGTTTGAATCTACCAGCTGCTTCAAGGGAGAAAGATGAGGCTTTGGAAACCTATATAGGGTTGCTATGATTTTAAACCAGCTCCACAACACACCACCACCACCACCACCACCAATCTGCATTTCTGATTTCCAATAAGTAGCTAAATCAACTCTATTCTACCGTCTAATTATAGAGTCCTGGTGAAGCTCCATAGGATAAGCACTCGACCTCAAGGTCAGTTTGAACCACAAGGTTGGTAGTTTAAATCAATCCGTCACTCCTCAGAAACCCTATACAGGATTGTTATGAGTCAGAACCGATTCGGCAGTACTTAACAACAAGAACTACCATTTAATTGTCATCAATTAGTAAGCATGATAATTGTGTCACACAGGGTTTTCCTACACAGGAATAATTGGGAATTATGGCTGTTGAGCATCTGCTGTGTGCAAACTTCTAGAGCCAGAAGGAGTTGCCATGGTCAGTTGTGGATGTCTTACTTGAAAATATTCATGTCGGCTTTTCTGCCCAGATTCCATCAGCTGGAACCTTTGCCCATGGACTGATTCATCTATTCATTCAACAGCATTTATTGATAGGAAGATCATATAATTAATTGGTCATCTAAATTAGGACACATTCTGAGTGAAAGGAGGCACTTAAGTAATTATTCCAGGACAGCAGGCATAAACCAGGACTCTCCTAGGCAAATCAGGTTGTCTGGTCATCCTATTTATTGAGCACTTTCGGTGTAACTAGCTTTTATGTTGGTTACTGGAGGCTGAGAGATTAAATAACATTGAGCATCCTCAGCCTGCTGAGGAGGCAGCCGTGTAAGCAAATATAAGTGCTAAAATGGAGGTGTACTAGAAGCATTATGTGTCCCTCAGGGGAGTCAGTGGAGGCTTTCGTGAGGAAGTGAAACTTAATCCAAGGTTGCAAATGATGACTTCAATGTGCACACAAAGGCCTGGAAGGAAGCATATGCAGAGTACAAAGACATCAGACACTACTGTATTCTTTAAACCATAAATTTCTTATAAATTCTATTGTATATGTGAGCTAGTTTTATACATATACACCAGGAAGCTTCAAAAAGTTGGAAGATAATTTCCATTTATTATACCATTTTTACACGAACTTTTTGAATCCCCTTTGTGTGTGTATGTTGTTGTGTGCCATCGAGTTACATACAACTCAGCAACACTGCATAGAGTTTCCAAGAGTGATTGGTGAGTTTGAACTGCCTACTTTGTGGCTACCAATGCTTGTGTGTATATATATATGCAGAATAGAAATACGTATGGAAAAGGGTCTATGGCAGAGTCTGGTACATTAAAAACAACCTGTTGCCCTTGAGTCATTTCCATCTCATAAGAGTTCTGGTGTGGGGCTGCAGGATAAGCACTGGATTGGAAGGTCTGTTTGAACTGCAAGGTCGACGGTTCAAACTCACCAGCTGCTCCTTGGAACACTACGAGTAGGAACCAACTCGATGACACTTAACAACCACAAGCAACCCTAGAGAGCAGAGTAGAACTTCTCCATAAACAATCTTAGGGAAGCAGACTGCTTCATCTTTCTCGCACGGAGTGGCTGATGGGTTCAAACTGCTAACCTTTCAGTGAGCAGCCCAACTCTTAATTCACGGTACCACCAGATCTCCTGCCCAGCATATAGGCAATATAGTTGTTGTTACGTATCATTGAGTCAGTTCTGACTCACAGTGACCCTGTATCAGGTTTCCAAGGAGCAGCTGGTGGGTTTGAACCACTAACTGAGGTGGGTTTGAACTGCTGACCTTGTGTTTTGCAGTCCAGTAGTGATCCTACAGCGTCATACTAGAAGTCTGGGGTTTCAACTGTTGTTGTTGTTGTTGTTGTCGTTAAGTGTCAGCAGTTTTTTCTGACTCATAGCAACACTGTATAGAATTTCTAAGGAGCAACTGGTGGATTTTAACCATCAACCTTGCAGTTCAAGGCTGCCTTGCTTTAATTTCCTTTTGGGATCTGCAATAGTATTTTCTCCTCTGGATGGCAGCATCAGTCTGTTGCAGTGCCTTTAGATCCTCACAGAAAGTTCTATGATTTAGTAGTCTACATATTTAGTTAAGAGATGATGACATGAAAGTTCCACAGCAGCTAACTAATGATAGCACCAGGATTAGAACCTGATGACAGCAGTAGATTTTGATTCAAAAATGATTCTGATCTTGGTTTGGTCTGGAGGACAAAAGAGATGTTTCCTAGCATAATATGCTGCTATTGCAAAAAGCTATTAAAAGTTTATTAAATATATTTTCTGGTGAAAACCCATTTTCATCATTTTTCTTAATATTCATCAAACAATTCTAAAGTAAAAACTATTATTTTTAGAGGTAGAGTCTTTGAGTCTGACCTAGTGTGAGCCATGGCCTTGCCACTGACCTTAGACCTAGCCTGGTTACTTAATTTCTATGAATCTGTTTTCTTCTCCATTAAATGAAAATCATACTTACTTTACAAGGGTTCTCATGAGTAATAGAAATAATATACATAACACACTTCACACTATGCAACATGTTGTTGTGGTTATGTGCCCGTGGAGTCAGTGCCAACTCATAGCGACTCTGTACAGGGTTTCTGAGGCTGTAAATCTTTACAGGAGCAGAAAGCCTCATCTTTCTCCCAAGAACAGCTGGTAGGAACAGCTGGTAGTTTCGAACTGCTGACCCTAGGGTTAGCAGCCTGATTCATAACCAGTAGGCTACCAGAGTGCAACATAGTAGCTAATTATTATGTTACTAGCTAATTTTGTTACAGCGTAGTGGTTACTAATCGGGCTGCAAACCACAAGGTCAGGAGTTCAAAACTACCAGCTGCTTCGAGGGAGAAAGATGAGGCTTTCTACTCCTGAAAAGATTTACAGCCTCGGAAACCCTGTTCAGGGTCACTATGGGTCGGAATCGACTCCATGGCACTTAACAACAACAACAATTACTAAATATTGGCCCCATTTTTAAGAACTTGACTTGAACTATCCCATTTTCTCTTTACAATAAACCTGTGAGGTGATTGTTTCTCTTCCTTTTTCCAGATAAAGTAACCAAAACACAAAACTGTCAAATGCTCCTAAGTGAGCTGGAATTCACACCCTGGTAATCTGGCTCCAGCCTGGGGGCCTAACCATTCTACCTCCTATTTCTAGTACAGTGTTATCCTTGATCAAAGGAATTCAATGTGCCAGGCTTTAGTGTTCAGAAGCTAAGAAATTAGAGTGCATGTTAATCAAATGTCTGTTACTAGCAAGGACTGTGCTATGCAGTTTCAAAAAGATTTCTTTGCATTTTAGTCACTAGTTGTTGGTCTGTGCTGTTGAGTTGGTTCAGGGCTTCTGAGCAGAGCTGTCAGTCTTTATAGAAGCAAAAGGCCTCATTGTTCTCCCACGGAGCAGCTGGTGGAT